CGTACGCTGTGCGTACTTCTCGTACGCCGGCGTACGCCCCTCCGCACCCGCGATCACTTAACCCTTCTATGCTGGTCGTACCCCAACTTACGTTGGATACTCTTGCGCTGACCCCTTGCATGCATGGTCCATTCTTGCCATCTTTCTCCATTAAGGACCAATATTGCCAATAACTTCAAAGTGCTATAATTCCTTTATTCTAAGCTTGTTTCCGACGAACTTTATCCACGAAAGGTGGCGAGCAGCCCTACGCTCCAACTACACACCCAAGCCTTAAAAACATTTAGAATAAAACCTGAGACCCATAAAAGACCGAATCAGTTTATACCCTGAGCCTTCGAAACCACAACGACGTACTTTCAAAACGGGGTGTTACAACAGGGGTGAAAATGTCATCTGTATAGACATCGTTCCTGTTGTTAAACATCAAGAACATGAAGGGTAAGCCAGTAAAACTAGATCTCGACGAAGAAACCAACCAACAAGATCTGAAAAAGGGAACTTACAAAGGTTCGGATGGTGATCCCAATGGTAATATGGAGTTTCTTGCTTGACCCTTACACTAAAAACTTATTCTTCTTCTTCTTCCCTCAAAGAACACCAAAATCATGAAAATGAGCTCAAACTTGCAAGGAGGAGGTTAGGATATCACATGGATTCTTTGGAGGCGATGGAGGTTGAGGGTGAGGGAAACCTTACACACTCACTTCTCTTAGATATGACCTTAAGTCCGCAAATTAGGGATTAGCTCATTGTCTTTGGCACGTCGTGGCACCTATGTTGTCACGTCGTGGTAACCTTAGTGGAATAGCGCCAGCCAACATATATACATATACGTACATTTATATATATATATATTATATATATATATATATATATATATATCCTTATAAGCCAAAAAATTTACATATATACCGAAATATATAATTTAATCATAATTAATCTATTTTTTAAAATCAAATATATATATTTTTTAAATTAGGTTATAACTAAATTACCCAAATACTCATTTGCATCCTTCCGACAATCGAACTCTTTACTTGTGGTTATTCACTAACTAAATTACTAAAATACTCATTTGCATCCTTCCGACATGGTTATTCACGACTTGATATCTTGTCGTTTTATATTCTACATAATCTATTAGCAAAACCTGATTATTGTATTCTTAATCGATTCCTAAACAATAGTTCATCTCCTACATTCAACTAAGGAGACATGTAGTATTCTCCTATAACAATTTTGTTACCAAATGAATCCATAATGGTGATTATGAATTTGGGATGGAGCTTCAAACATTCAATCGATCTTAACTATGTTATCGATCTTCATATTTAAAGTAGCCATCAATGTCGACAATGGAAATACTGTATGATAATTAATCTGTATAAGGATGGTGTAAAGAAATATGGTCTAATCAATTATGGATTTAATTTCAGTTTGATGGAGGTTTTCATGCAGCTAGGTAAGTAGGCTGAATTTTTTATAGCTGGTTAGAACCAATAACCCTGGCAGAAATCGAACATGAAACGTCATGTCTAATTGCAACAATATGGAGCATCGAAAACTCGATGAATCCAACTTTCTAAGTATTCTTACACTATAAATCTCCTGCAAATAAGACATGCATTATGCTCCATATTACAACTTCAACACTTAGCCAATTATCTGATTCCCAACAATTGTTTTTACCTTTCATTGACAATCCTTAAAGATTTTCACAGGGGTTACTATAACTATCAATACCACTAATTGAAAGGACATGCAATGTGTGAAAGATTTCTATTAGACTAGAATCCTATTCATAATCTCGCCCATACACAACAACATAGTCAAGTATGATTGTTTTACCCTTTGGGAAGTAAAAGAGAATGCTTAATCCAAGATGCATGCTCAGTGTCACTTGCCAAAATACAACCGGATATCATTCGGATAAATCCTATGCTGCTATTGTTGCTTGGCTTGCCAAAGATGCGTGCATATGTCGACCGAAATAGATCAACTATAATGGGGATCTGAAGAGTACTAAACGCTGCAATTGGGAGGAAAGCTAATACACAAATTGGAGCAACCATCCATGGTCTTTTATAACAAAGACAAGGTACAATGTTTGTGCCGAAGGCCACCATCATTGCAGTTGTAGATAGGAGCAAGGTGACAAGACCAATAATCATTCTTCTTGGCAAACGGTGTAGGAAATCTTGCTCAGAAAAACGTCCGGTGAGGATCGACAAGAACATTAGTAATGCTGTACTGGATGCAAATAGTGACATGGCATCTGCTACAGCAAAGATGGTGAAGGCAGTGTTATCTATAATAAAGGGATGCCTGATTCTTGATTGATTCCACCTGGCACCGTAATGGCTGCTGCAAACACTATTGTGGTAATTAGTCCTGCGGTGATGCTGCATGATTCTGCTACAGCTTTCATCCACTTCTCTCCTTCCTTCACCAAATTCTCATGTTCCCGTGTGAACACCATATCTGGTGTCTCCTTAAAAATGTTCTCTTTGGTAATGTATGCTGGAAAAACGAGTTTCTTGACTTCCTATCAGAATTAATTTAACTCGATTATGCTACTATGTATACAATGAAAATATTAATTCTTTACAATTTATTACGATGTAGTACCTTTCGCCATTGAAGCTCTCTTTGTAGTTGAAATGCTGCACCTATACTGCGTTTGAGCTTCTGGGAAGGAGCTAATCTTCCAGCCAAGTGCAACATATTGTTCTTTGATGAATCTTCGAGTGTTCCATAAATGCTCTTACGCTCCTCCATGAGATAAATAAGGTTGTAAATCTTTTCTGAACGATGTATTACTGCTAACTGTATAATGTCATACCCTTGTTCATCTTTATACCGAATTGCTTCAGGGGATCTCGATAAAATCTCATCAACAACCTCATAAGCATTTTGACGAGCAGCCTCTAGAATGGGTCCGGTGTAATAGTGAGAATGAGCATAGCGATCTTCGAGTTTTCTATGCTTCACATACCAGTTTTAGAACTTCTTTTGCTCTTTCCCATTCCTTCTTTTCTTCTCGATATGCTTAATTGGTGCAACTGATGCAAGTTACAAGAATAATCAGTTGGAGTAGAATCATTAAATTTATACTATTAGAAATTATATCTCTCGAGCTTAATTAGTAATGGGTTGATTAAGTTTGTATGCTCTTACCGAATATTGCTGCAACCTTCCACAAGCTGAAATAAAACATAAAGAATGGGAAATAAACAATCAATATGAGGAGGCGCATCAACACATAGATCCATATAAGCATGAGCAGTGGAACTGCAGAAACACAAAATGTTTATTTAAAAAAATGCAGTATACTTTGTGAGTTCAAATATATGCTTAATTCTGGAGTTGTATGGACTTGTTAGTAGCAGCTCACCACCTAAAATGATGAATAGTACCAGTAGTAAAATAAAATATATCACTTTTTCGTCCTCCAGGATTTGCTTGCAAACGAAATATGGGCTTACTAATATTAATAGCAGGCACTTAGCTCTTTCCACAATCTTTGTACAAATATTGTCCAAAACTGAAAGAGAAAAAGCGATAGTCAAGAAAAGGGAAAAAAGAATACAAAAGAAACTATATCTGGTACATTAGAAAGAAACTTACCTGGATATATAAGTGTTTCTCCATAGTCTAGCCCGCTGGGAAAGGTTCTAGCTATTGCCATCAGTACATTATCATTCTCTACAACAAATTCAGGATAATCTTCGACCAACTTTATTGCTAAATCTGCAAGCAAATTCAAAAGAATATGAAATATTGAAAGAAGTAAGCCTTTTGAGCGCGTGTGTATATATATATATATTATATATATATATATATATATATATATATATATATATATATATATATATATATATATATATATATATTGGCTACGCACCATACTGCTTTGAAGAAACAGCATTAACAAGAAGTTCGACGCCTATTCTAGAAGTATTTTTCTCCGGTTTCTCATCCCCCTTGGCGGCTTTCAACAAATATTCAACGGTATCGAGATGCATATTGTCAAAAGCTTTATCCAAAGGTGTTTCGCCTTTAAGGTCTTTTGTTACCAACAACTTTATGTTTCTTTTAATCAAGAGCTTTGCTGCTTCTGTATTGCCGACTATTGCAGCAATGTGAAGGGCTGTGCTTCCATTCTTATTTTTCATTTCAAGTAATTGTTCAACTTTGATTAACCGTAACATTTCACTGACCATACGGTTCTTACCTATTCCGACAGCTATATGAAGTGGCATGTTACCATCACTGTTGATTTCCTGTGTTAGTACGTGTTTATTGCCAAATAGTATTACGTGCAGATCCCACACACTCCCGTCCATAATAACTTCGCATAACTGCTTCTTGATCTTTTCATCAACTTTAGTTTCTGTTCCTTCACCTTTTATATTTGTTTTTGTTGGAATTCTCTCTTGGCCGTTTCCATTTTTCTCAACTGGAACCGCGTCGACGTCTTGAGTTTCTGTTTCTTTTGTTACTGTTTTTGTTGGAACCTCATCCTTGTCTTCAGTTTGCTTTTCTTCTGAAACCACATCTATGCCTTCTGCTTCTTTTTCTTTGGAAACTGCATCTTTGTCTTTACTTGCTTCTAGTTTCGTTCGAGCTGAATCTGCACACCCTTCGGACATTGTGATTAAATGAAGAAATGACTGTGTAACCATAACAAACTTTTGTATTCATCGTCACAAAGGTTTATAAACATATGCATTTATCTGGAGCCGACAAATTTTATTAGTGTCTATATAGTAGAAAAAAAATTGAAATTTTTTGCAACCAAGAGTTGACCAAAGTAAATCATGTATGATCCTTGAATCTGATAACTAGCTTGGAATATGTTGTCTAAGGTTTAGCACGTCAGTATGGTTATAGTCTTATAGAACTGATCCAACAAAGGTCCATTGATATATTAATATAGACACAAACATTTGAATTTACGTATACAAATGCATACTATTACAGTCACACAGATGGCGATTGTTGCTCCTAAAATGGCCTATAAAAACATGGATAATAGAAGGTTGGGGTGTGTCTGCTTTAAAGAAAATGTTGAGGGACTGTTTTGTAAATAGTCAAAAGTCAACAGATTGTAGGATACCGTGTATGCTTGTGCTCCTAGTTTTGACTACCATGTAATTTATTTTTTCCTCTCAAACAAACATATGGTCCCAGTTTTGAGTACCATGTAATTTCTTCTCCGTATCTTGTTATTGGTTCCGTGACTTACAACAACCTATTAAAATAGAATGTACACGGCAAGAAATGTTTAATTGAACTGTGATTTTACGGAGGTTATTAGGCTGTGATTTTTTAAGGTGGCGAATATAAAATTCAAACTATCTAAGGGATCAAAGTAGTTGAAATGACAAAATTAGTGGATAATTTTTTGTTTTGTTATCGAATCGGATTAATAAATATACCATATTAGCATCTAAGATTAAACTTCCCAAACTCATAATCATCAATCTAACATATGAATAAAATTAACCAAATTATAGACATAGTACACCATATACAAAAGTTAGACACAATGAATATATGTTTAAACAATATGCAAATAAACAATTAACATCAACAAAGTTTATATTGGTTTAAATTTTTAGTAGAAATTATAAGCTTTAAATATACAAAAGATATATAAATTAACAATTATCTAAAGTAGAAAATTTGATAATTTGATAATTAAAAAAAATGTCAGAAAGTTTTATGACAAAACTACTTTTCTACTTTTTGTCAAAACTTTGAGATATCTCCGATAAAGTCCTAATATTTTGGACCAGTTTACGTTTTAATCTCAATATTTATTTTTTTAAAAAAAGAAAAGTTCTCGTTATTTTATATTTTTCCCAAATTAACGAAACATTCTTTATTTTTTTCAACATAAAATGTCAAATTATCATATAAAATTAGATACTCGGGATTTTCTATTTCAAAAAATAAATATTAGGATTAAACCATAAACAAAAACAAAATATTAGGACTTTATTAGAGATTTCCTTAAAAATGTTCAATCACTTTTTTCTTTATACCTCACTCTCCTACTATACTTTTTCTTTTTTATCTTTCTTTCTTTTTCATATCTTCTTTAAGGGTTTCAGGGAGTAGGGTCACCAATGACCTTGCTAGCGCATGTAACCCTCGCCAAACACTGTCTGGATTGCGCTAAGGGCTCATCAAGGGGCTCGTCAGCGGTGCCTCCGTCGGTGCCTCCGCCAGGGCAGTAGCGAGAGGAGAGATGAGAGAGAAAGTGGGGTGAAAAGGGATATGTTTGACTTTTTAATGCTTTTATTCATTTTTTTTAGATGTATACTTTTTATAAAAATATAGTCGTTTATCAAAAAATCCAGTTTTAACTTTTATCAACCACTATAAATAAAAATAAAAAAAATAAAAAAATAAACCTTCACATTTCAACACACAAAAATCTCAATACATGACGGTAATCTCGGTTTCATTAATAACTTTAATATTCTCAATAATTCACCATTATTAAGAAAAATATATGACGGTACAGCTTGAGATTAGTCATTTGTTCTCCGAGAAATGAAATACAAATTTTGCTACTATCTTGTCGATTCGTCATCGTGTAAGGATGACCCTCAAATATCATGATTCAATAGAGTCCAAGAAAAAGCGAGGAAATTTATCGAATAAGCGTTTGGAGCACTAAAAAAGTGTTGGAAAATACATGCCAAAGTATCATTGTTTCGTGATGTAAAAACTATGACAGAGGTGATGTATACATGTACCATATTACATAATATGATAATATAACATGAAGGATACACGACATGAGCCTCCAAAGAGAATCAAGTCATCCCCAAGACACAACCACTAGAATATGGTGGTCAAGAATGGATAAGGAGAATGAGGATAGTCAATAATGCAGTAATCAATCCTAGTTATCGCACCATTTAACCGATTATCTTTGGACGATTAAAAATCATGATTTTAATATGCCACCGGAAGATGAATTGGAAGGCCAGTTTTGTAACATCCTGTTGGGATTAAAACCCTAATTGTGATTTGATGAACAAGATGCAGAAAATAAGAACAAACACAATAAAGAAGATATGTCGAATGATCACTCAATTTATTCAAAGCATGAGGAATAAATTACACTTTCAAAATAGACTAAAGAATCTAACTCTACATAAGAAACCTCACAATGTTTGGCGGCTACATTTTGCCTCACTCTTAACCCTAATTATGAATAATACATGACTATTTATAGGGAAAAGACAAGTCTTGGGCTTTTAACCTACACTTCATCAAGGGGGCCCATTGCCATAATCCATGGAGTACTTTGAACCCGACAATCTCCCCCTCAAAGTACGGAATGGATGACAATGCTTTAACTTCCAAAACAAGCATCTAGCAAATAAGAAAAGATCTCGCAACGAGGAATATTTGAAGCAATCTACGAATCTTGATTCTTCAATAGTCTTCAAAAACAGGTTCTAGGATATATATGAACCAAGCACTGAAGTAATGTTTTTAAACTTCATTTTCTGATGTAATCCCAAAGATCTTCAAGAAAGTCAAACCCGCCATAAAACCCCATTTCAAAATTAAGAAACCAAATCACTTCTTGTCTTTGAAGAACTCCCCCTCCAAGTCACAATGATCTTCAAATAAGCTAATGATATAAGCCACCAAAAAATATCATGTAACAACCCAAAATTTAAGATTCGTAACGCCACTTGATCGAGAAAATACTAGAAGTCGGAGATATAACAAGGCCTTAGAAGAGCTTGACGAAGAACTGCTACTATAAAGGATATTTCTCTGTAAAAGCTTTAGAAGAGCTCGATGAAGAACTGCTACTGTAAAAGCTACCTTCATAATTCTACCACAAGCTTAATCAAAAATCTTCAAATTTGAGAAGTCATAAATCCAATTTCGAATGACCATACCAAATTCTCCCCCAATTTATAATCAAAAACTTGATTATAAAACATTCAAATGGTCATGAGAATGATCATGAATGGATAAATAATTACTGTGCTCCCCCGCGACAAAATAATATAAACAATGAAGTTTAAAATCCGAAAAAGTAGAAAAAATTGATGTTATTGCGAAAAACGACTTTCCGAACTCCAAGACTTGATGGAATCCTTAATTTTCTGTTCACGAAAAAATATGTGCATTAAAAAATCCAAAATTGTTCACCAGCCCTCAAATTTGCAAACTTTTCGAAAAATAGGCTGAAACTGTCACATTGCTGAAAGTCAGGGGACTAAATTAATAATTTTGCATCATACTACCCTTCATTTGTAACAATTTCTAGAAATGGTCCAAAACAGCCAAGTCACAAAAAATACAGGGACCAAAACTTTCAAATCGCTGAAGTTACAGGGACCAGAAATGTAACTTGAGTCATCTTCCCCATTTAATCAGTAAAATGAAAGAACACAGCGACAACAACACGCGATTAAACTCTAAATCCAAGAAATCGACACCCACGAATTACACATTCGTTCCGAGCACAAAGATGTGAATCCGAGTCCAGTCCCAACTGCGAGCACAATCAATTTTGACATCCGTATGGGAAGTGAGTGCGAACCCAGAATCACAATCCCCGATTCCTTGACCTTTCGCTCCGAATCAATCGACCACAGACCCGATGCGAATCACCAGTAACACCGAATCCAACCCCCGACTCGTTTTTATGACACTGAGAGCTTTCGCAGGCGAATCCATTTTCAAAGTCTTAATTTTGACGTTTATCAGTGACCAGCAAACTGCGAATGGAAACAAAAAACCATTGCGATTCCGAGACCTGTTTATGAAGAACGAATCTAGTTCTAGTTCCGAATGCTTCCAAAAGGAATACTGATTACGATTCACTTAACATTTGTATCGATTGTATTCGCGGGTAAAATCATACATTCCAATTTTGACTTTTAATATTTTGACCATCAAAACCGATAATTGACAAATACCAAAATCGACATCCTCAGATCAATGTAATTACGATATAAAATCGGTAATCAACGAAAGAACGGATTGATAAGATTAAACCCAAAATCAAATAAAATCAAATTTTGATTTTGACAATAAATCCGTTTACAGATTACAACTCAAGAATGAAAGAACAAAGATGGAGTCGAAGATGAAGGCATTAAAGAAACAATCGATATTCAAAATTTAACACTGAAGATGCAATCGGAAACATAGATATAATATAAGGGCCAATAAAAAAAACTGGGTCGTCAACAAACATGTGGACCATGAACAGTGAATCGGCCAAAAGTTTGGGCCAGATCAAAATAAGATACAAATAGATCCAATTGGATCAAAGCAAAGGACTAAAATCAATTGATTTTTGGATTAAGCTAATGAACAAATCCAATATGAACAGAAAAATACTACGATGAACAGTAGAATACACCATAAATCTTCATGAACAATAACTTTAACGGAATTTTGATTCCAAAACGCCAAAACATCAATAATCTTCAATAACTTGTGCAGAAAATCATCAAATCAAGAACCGATACTTCAAAAATCAATAGATCTTCAAAGACCCGCTCTTATACCACTTGTTGGGATTAAAACCCTAATTGTGATTTGATGAACAAGATGCGGAAAATAAGAACAAACACAATAAATAAGATATGTCGAATGATCACTCGATTTATTCAAAGCATGAGGAATAAATTACACTTTCAAAATAGACTAAAGAATCTAACTCTACATAAGAAACCTCACAATGTTTGGCGGCTACATTTTGCCTCATTCTTAACCCTAATTATGAATAATACATGACTATTTATAGGGAAAAGACAAGTCTTAGGCTTTTAACCTACACTTCATCAAGGAGGCCCATTGCCATAATCCATGGAGTACTTTGAACCCTACACATCCCATTTGAAATATAATAATTAAATAATAAACCCGGAACCCCGAGCAGCAATTTTTATTATTATTATATGTTATTATAGTCCAAAATCAGATAATAATTAGTGGGGTGTTGATTTCGGGAAGCCAAATGACAATATTTGAATCTCCAGGGGTTAAAGTGTAATTTTGGGACTTAATTTGTAAAGATTTTCGTAAGTCAAGGGGTGATGGTAATTTTTGAACTAATTGTGAAAGGGTTTTTAAAACGCATGGACTAAAGGAGTAAATTTCGGACTTAAGTTGAAAAGACTCTATGGGGAAGGACCAGACTTGTAAAGTGAGCAAAAGTTTTAAAACGGACGGGGTATATACACGTCACCACCTTACCATTCAACCCTAAACCTAATGCGATACAGCAACCGCCAACTTCATCTTCACCCTCATTCAACTCTGGCGCCGCACCACCCTATTGCCTCCCTTCACCACCGGCGATGCCACCACGATGTTCCCGATCAGCGGATGACGACAGCGACCTCCGGAAGCTGCCATCCTCCCCTTTCTCTTTATCCAGCCGCCATCTCAAGCCTCACCCGCCGCCGCCATGTCACCTGCCGATTCTGCTATCGAAACACCGCCATCACGACGTCGCTGGACGTCGTGTGTGGCCGGAAAACCACCGGGATGTGTCGTTGTTGCCATTTCCTACCGTGGCTGCTTGTCCGGGAATAAAAAAAATCACCACTGCTGTTGTTCCGATGACGATGAGGACCATCTCGTGTCCATCTTGCTGCCAGACGTCGGGGACAATCGAGAGAGATGACCGGAGCCGCCACCCCCGCTGTAGAGGTTGTAATCTCCAACCAGTGTCGCCGCAGGTACTGCTGATGAAGACGAGGACCACCGACGGGTCCGTTCCTCTTTCGTTGTGGTTGTCGTTCGAAGCAGCCATCGACGTGGCGGAGTTCTGCCGCCAAGGGCCGCCGCTGCTGCCGCTTTCTGGTGCTACTGTCGTCGCCACCCACTTCAGTGGGTGTTGGGTTTATTTTTCCGGGCAAGTATGTGCGTGTACTGCTGCCGTATGGTGTCAATTTTGTGTCGTGTGTGTGGGTGGCTAACTTAGCCGGAATCACAAGAGGGCCACCGCCACCACCGTGGGAGGGGTGTATTTTAGTGGGTATGTGTGTGTACATTTGATATTTTCATTGTAATTTGTAACAAAAAAATGAAATAATGGAAAGAAAGTCAAAACCACCACCGTGAGGTGGTGGCTGCCGCCATCGGCCGCCGTGTCGGGTAGCGGTGTGCCTTGTTTGGTTTGTGACTTGTTTGGATGTTTGGAAAAAGGGACTACTAAACCCTAATGGGCCCAAAGAAACCCTAGCGGGCCCAATGAGACCTTAATGGGCCCAATGAAGCCCTAATTGACCTAAAAGCCCAAACATGTGTCTAATGGGCCTAATGAACTTTAATTTTGATCAAAAGACCTAGCTATTGGGCCTATTGGGCTAAGATGGGGTTGGAAACCCTAATATTGGATCTATGAGCTTGGATTTGATCGGGACCGCACTTGAATTATTCACTAAACTCAATATATTAATTAATGATCATTTGCAGTCAAACTAAGTCAATATTGGACTTAATGGATTAAGTCCTTAATGGGTTAAATAGGAAAACTTAACCCTAATCATCATTTTATGTGAAAACCCTAATTTCACTTGGGCCTTGAGTTGGGCCTTTACATTGGGCTTTGGTAATTAGATTATTAATGGGCAATCCAAGAATAATCATATGGACTAGAATATGTTGATGGGCTTAGGCTAAGGCCCATATAAGGGTGTGGGCCCAATTTGGAAAATTGGGCCGTAGATGGGCCATAGTTTGGGCCTTGATGATTATATGATATCGGGGCATGGGAAATGCAAAATCTTTGGACTGGACTAAGTGGTTGGGCCTTTAATTATGACCATGTAAAGGTTTGGGCCCAATTTGGAAAATTGAGCCATATGTTGGGCTTTGGCCCATTACTTGACTTTTGGGCCTTTGGTGTGTGAGTTGGACTTTGGGCTTGGAACCAATTATTAATTGGGTATTGCTTGATGTTGACAGTTCGGGAAGCTATCAACCAACAACTGGAGTTTTACCTGCAGGACTTCAGCAGTGCCAAGTGAGTTCTCCTCACTCTATCAACAGGGTCTAAGGCACCAATGTCGGCCCTTATCAGATTTGTATCCGGGTTTATTGCATGATATGTTTATTGATTTACATCCTGGTAATTAGGATGGTGATATGCTTAGTGACCTGGTAGGTCGGAATCTTGGTTTATAGGATTATGCTATATTAGTGATCTGTTAGATCGGTATCCTGATTATAGGATGGTTGCTATGTTATTGATTAGTTAGATTTGTATCTTTGGTATAGGATGTTGTTATGATCATTAATCTGTTAGATCGGTATCCTGATTATAGGATGGTTGTTATGTTATTGATCGCTTAGATCTGTATCCTGGTTATAGGATGTTGTTATGGTTATTGAACTGTTAGATCAGTTGACTGTTATATATGCTAGCATATGATATTTTATGTGCACATGTTTGTTGATTTTGGGGTTGAGTTGAGGCGGTTATGCTTTGTGCTGAAGGCCAACATACCCAGGGAGGTCCGGATAAACTGAAGGCTCTGCAAAGGGATTCAGTCAGACTGAAGGCCCGACGAGCGGTCCGGATAGGCTGTAGGTCATGCGAGGCGGTCCAGTCATGCCGAAGGCTCGGGAGCGGTCCAGATAGGCTGTAGGCCCTACGAGTCAGTCCAGTCATGCTGAAGGCTCATTGTGCATGTTGTTCTGTATTTGTTATATGATATGGTTATATTTGTATGGCGTTGGTATTTTGGGGAAACTCACTAAGCTTCGGGCTTACAGTTGTTGATTTTGTTTCAGGTACTTCTGATGATTGCGGGAAGACGAATGCGTGATCATGCACCTCCTCATATTTTCATGATTGATTATGGGGATACTCTGATGTTTAAACTATTTTGAAAACAAATTGTAATAACTTAATGGTTTTAAATGTTTTAAAAAGTTTTAAATTTACTTGATTTTTATGGGTGTTACAAGTTTTCGGACGAAGATCTATTGCTTTAATTATAATGTGTTGTTTTGTAATGTATTAAAGTTTTGTTGTAGGTATTAGTAATGTTCCTAGGTATTAACTCATGTTTTAACTTATTATATCGTATTTGAAGTTTTAAATTATTGTAATTTTTTATTTAATATGGAATTTTTGCGTTTTATAAAAAATATAATTTATGTAAGCTTCAAAAAAAGTCAAAAATACATCCAGTGTGGTAGAGGTGCTACCACTCCCTATGAAATCCTAAGAAAAAATATTTTTTTAAGGTGAGAACACAAAAAAATGATGTGGCATTGTTATGCTTACGTGACAGTGTGCTAAGGGTGCTACCACTCCCTCCAGCCTAATATATTAAAAATTTCAAGATACAGATACAAGAAAAATAGAATTACCTCAAGATTCAAGAACATAAGAGAATTATCTATTTAGAAATGGAGATGAGAGGGCTAAGAGGAAGAGTTGTAGAGGGTGCGGTCGGAGATGATCTGACGGCGGCTAAAGATGGGCAAAGAGAACAGTCAGATGGTCTCTAAAGAACAAAAAACCGATGTAATTTTTGATTTTTTGGGTTTTAATTTTCATTTACCTTCCATGTTTTTAATTTAATTAATTACAAACATAAATATCAAAAATCCAAAATTTATTATGATACATGATATCTTATATAATTTATAGTATTATTTATAGAAGAAAGATTTATTTCTTTTTGTTAACCAGCGTTAATTATTTTAGTGTGACTTTTTATGTGCCTTCACAGTCTGAGGTGTCTATCTAAAAACCATAGTATAAAATGAAAGAAAAGCTTCAAACCAAGGGGTATCCATGGACACACCTTGCTAAAGTGTAGAATGGCCCTTGATTTGTGAAATTGGATATATGATGTTCTTAAAATAAGGTAATAAGAGTTCATTTCTATTTGTTTTTCTAAATAATTAATGGTTTTGATTTTATTGGACAAATGAAACATCTATAGTTGAATTGTCCACCAACGTGTGTTCACTCCAAAATTTCGCACTCTAGATAGTCGATTAAAACGTCCAAAAAATTACACATAGTTCTTGGAACAAGAACGAGGTTGTTTGTCCTGTTTTTTTTTACACGGGCACATAAGCCATAAGTTACCCAAATATAGTCACAAAGCCTCTACCTCCAAGACTCACGGTTGTCGGCTCAAGTTTAGCAAGTCATGTGGTAATATACAATTTTACCATCGGCTAACACAAATACATCAAGAGTGAAAAATAAACCTTTAATGACAGTTTAAATGAATGAGCGAAAAGTTATTTCTATAAATCTAAGGTCACTCGTCATAGTTACTCTTCACAGTTGAGGATAAGCTCCTTAACTGATAGTTTAGTAGATTATCACTACTTAACTGTCATTCAAGATTTACATTTCACTCTCGATCGATGGATATGTGTTAGCTGATGATTTTTATCATGTAATGTATTAAGGTTAGGTGGTAGGTAGGTGAACGAACATAAGAGGAATGCCAAGATCATATGAACACGTACATAGTTCGTCGCATTACGACACCCGCAACGATACATAAGAGGAACATAGAGAGTTTGAAATTGTCAACAAACAATTTAAGAATACTTAGTCCGTATTTTATTCCTATAATTAGCCATGACTGTATTTTCTTTGTTTGTAATAAAAAGAAAAGTTTTGTTATATTTTTAAATGATTTGTTAATGATAGTATACATTAATTCACAAGTAGTGTTCAAAAAATTCCAATATTTTGGTTATTAGGATAATATTCAGAAAAGTCGTAATATTTTGACCAAATTAATGGAAAAAGACAAGATACTCCTACATCTATCGAGCCAGCCAAAAAGGTTTTTTTTCAACATATTAGCTTGTATCATGTATTTTTCTGTAAATAAAAAAAATAGGACTTTTCGGTTAATTATGCAAAAATATTGGGACTATTCAAAGAATAACCCTTGAAAAAATATTGAATTAGTAAAAGTTATGCTTTTTTTTTGTTACACTTGGTGTTTTGGTTACTTCCGTTCCGCATCTATATACATTTACATGTATTAAATAATTCTTAGAATTAAGGTTCATAGGAGGTAATCAATGTCAAGAAATAAGGGAGGGCCAAAGAGTCGAGATATCTGTTTAATTAAGTTTGCATTAATAGTGGATATTCTCGCTTATGTTGTACGAACGTTATATAATATTCTTTAGCAATGAGGGAACTAAAATAATACGAAATTTTATGTACACATGAACACCAAATGCTGATATGATTACGGATGTGAAACAAGCGATCAATAGTTGGCACACACCTTGTTGAGAACTTATCATAGTTTGACAGTAGATTGATTTGAGTTTCTCCCAAACCTCTTTGGCTGAGCCAAGATCAACGACAGTGCCAAGAATTAAACGCATCCTTTAACAAGACTGTCAAATTGTTTCCTCATGGAACCATTAAACGCAGCATCTAAGACATCCTGCATATTGTAACTGTCGAGGAGGCAAAGCATTTGCATCTCCCAAAGATGGTAGTTGCGGTCACTGGAAAGCTTCACAGAAACAAAGTTAGAAACAGTGCAATTTAATGCAGAAGAGTACTCCAGGTCTTCTTGTGTTCGTGCTGTAGCATCGGTGTTTGATGAGCTTGCCATTTGAATGGAGAATAGATGGATATGGTATGTTTGATGTAGATGCTGTTAACTTCTTCACGGTTAGTATATATAGGAAATTATTTGATCATACGTATATGATGATGTGTTTTTGCATATGTATGCAATATGTCATCTATCTAAAGATTATTCAGAAATAATTCAATTTATTTGTATAACAAGAATATTGTTTTATAGATAAAGTATTAATTTCTCGGTAACAGTTTTATTATTATAAGTTATTTACTACATGTCGTACTATTGCGAAAAGAAGAAGGCAGCGTTGATTTATAAGTTCTACACAAACAAATAGAAATCTTTTTTTTTTTAATATTATAAGTTATTAACTACATGTCGTACTATTGCGAAAAGAAATAGGTTTGTGCTATAAATACCCCCTTAACCAATTTTACCACCATAACATCAATCAAATCAACTTTTTACTTTTAATTTGACATTATTTTTTTCTGAATTGGAAAACGAAGGGATACTTATAGAACACCCCTTATAAGTAGTATCCACACAAATAAATATAAATCTTTTTTATTAATATCATATTTTTATTCATTTTGTTATATATATATATATATATATATATATATATATATATATATAGGGAACGGTTATTTGGAAAACAAAAAAACCCTAAAAAACTCCTAAAAATGCATAAAAACGCATAAAAAAATACCTAGACATTACAAAACTTTTTTTTGAATTTTTTTATCAAAAAATCGCAGCCTTTTTGACAATTTCGCTGAAAAAAAAATAAAAAATCAATTTTTTTTTTGTAAAAACATTTTTTTTTTCAAAAAAAATTTCAGCGATTTTATGTTAAAAGCTGCGATTTTTTGATAAAAAAATTCAAAAAGAAGTTTTGTGATCTCTAAGTAATTAATTTATGTATTTTTATGATTTTTAAGGTTTTTTTAGGGTTTTTTTGTTTTCCATAGAACCTATATATATATATATATATATATATATATATATATATAGATATATATATATATATATATATATATATATATATATATATAAGGAAGGGTTATTTGGAAAACAAAAAAACCTTAAAAAAACCATAAAAATCATAAAAATGCATAAAAAAATTCCTAGAGATCACAAAACTTTTTTTTAAATTTTTTTATGAAAGAATCGCAGGTTTTTAAAGAAATTCGCTGAAAAAAATTTTGAAAATTTTTTTTCTTTTATAAAAAAAAAACTTGATTTTTTATTTTTTTTTCCAGCAAATTTTAATTAAAAGCTGCGATTTTTTATAAAAAAAAGTTTTGTGATCTCTTAATATTTTTTTTATACATTTTTTTTTATTTTTAGGGTTTTTTTAGAGTTTTTTGCTTTCCCGATAACCCGAGAACTAAAAGTGGAGCAATAGATCAAAACTAATTCAATAAGGGCATGATCGTAATCATACCGATCTCATTTAATGTTTAATTTTTTGTGTTATTGGAAACATTAATAAAAAGTTTTAAAAAATAACATAATTTTTTAATATATATATATATATATATATATATATATATATATATATTTAAAAAAAACTATAATTTTTTCAAAAAACAACTGCATTTTTTTTCTCACAAAAAACTGCAATTTTTTCAAAAAAAAATCTTCATTTTCCTTCAAAAAAAACCTGCAATTTTTTCAAAAAAAAACAGCTTTTCTTTTAAAAAAAACAGCATTTTTTTTAAAAAAATCTGCAAACTTTTCAAAAAAAAAGCTACAATTTTTTTTAAAAAACCTATAATTTTTTTTTAAAAAATGCATTTTTTTTAAACTACAGTTTTTTCAAAAACCACATTTTAAAAAAAAAAGAAACTGCAATTTTTTCAAAAAGACCCTATTTAAAAAAAATGCATTTTTTAGATGCATATATGCATATTTATGGTACATTTATGCATATTTTTAGAAGTGCATATATGCATATTTCATATATTATAATATTTGTAAATGAATCATAAGAAACTCATTTTATTTACTAATCTATAAACACAATACAATAAGTATTTTATTCGATACAATATAAAATATCAAAAACAAACAAATACTATAAAATTTCAAAGCGTTTTCATGTCTTCTTGTCAATATTTCCATATTTTCTTCAATTTATCATTTTCACCTCTTCAATATTCACCACAATTTCTTCCAAATCTACAAATAAAAAAAATATTGATGCAAAAACAATCACAAAAATACATATATGATTTACATGTGAATCACATGTAATTCATATGTGATTTACATGTGAATCACATGTAATTCATATCTGAATTACATATGATTTACATGTGAATCACATGTAATTCATATATGAATTACATGTGAATCACATGTAATTCATATGTGAATCACATGTAATTCATATGTGAATTACATATGATTTACATGTGATTCACATATAATTCATATGTGAATTACTGTGAATTACATGTGAATCACATTTAATTTATATATGAATTATATGTGCTTCATATGTGAATAACATGTGATTTACATGTGATTTATATGTGAATAACATGTGATTTACATGTGAATTACATGTAATTCATATGTGAATTACATGTGATTTAAATGTGAATCACATGTAATTCATATGTGATTCACTTGTGACATGTGATTCACATATAATTTATATAATTAACTTGTGATTTAAATGTGAATTATATGTGATTCATATGTGAATTACATGTGATTTTCATCTGAATCACATGTAAATTCATATGTTATTCACTTGTGACATGTAATGTTTTTTTTATAAAAAACCATTTTTATAAAGTACACCATACTGCATTAACAAAAGCAAACCACACCAAACCAAACCTTTGTTTACGAGGGAGGAGCCGCCATTTGTTGCTTCTTTATCATGTTTTACCATGCTGTAAATAAATAAATAAATAAATAAATATATATATATATATATATATATATATATATATATATATATCAAGTAATTAAATAAAATGTTACAACACTATTCTTTTTTTTTTCTTTACTACAGAACTTGTTATAAAATGTTATAAATATCTCTCTTGTAAGTAAGTAAATAACGAAAAAGAAACAAACTTGAACTTAGTGGTTTACCTTATATCATGAGGTGTAATAAATGTCCACTATGATCCTTGTGCCAAAGCAAAATCCACAAACCATGTCCAAGCTTATTTTCCTGCTCACAACATCCTGCAATATAAAGATCATTAAAAGTTAAAACCAAGCCACTGATTGTGTTTTATTAAAAGAAATTTAATGTGGTTAAAAAGACCAAAATATGATAACAGGGAGTAAATAAAAGTAAACATGTACCTCAGGAGCATGACCTTTTACAGCAACAAACAAGCCACCAGCACCATCAACATCTTAAATAATCAACTAAAATCTATCACTTTGGAAATTTATAAAATATTGAGTAAATGTCTTTGATGGAAGCAGTCATGACCATGAAATCTTGTTCCACATTAGATGAGATGAATATTCTCAAGACTATTGTACAACTAATAACTAATAACTAACAACTAATTTCCATCTTATAGAGTTTAGTTAGTTATAGTATAATTGGATCTCCATTTATTTATCAGAAATGGACATTGTCCAGAAAAGCCAACTGGAAATAACCATAAAGCAAAGGATAGCAAAAATGAAAGTTGTTAATCATGAAGAGTTTTGCACAGACATTAATAGTAGAAATCAGTATCACCTCCAAGCAAAAACAAAGCTACAACAAGATCTAGCTGATGTCTTCCCAGTAACACATAAGCATTTTTCAAAGCAGCAGCCTTCATGGTTTGGGATAAGAAACAGGTCAAATTTTAAGCATAATGAAATTCAATTTCTCTGCTTTTGAACAAATAAAGTTAAATCTGAAACAATAAACACAAATAATGAACACAGACAAAACAAGAACTATTGGATGAAATAGTACCTGATCATATAAACACAAATAATGAACACAGACAAAACAAGAACTATTAGATGAAATAGTACCTGATCATAGAGTAAGAGATGTATAAAATTATAAAAAATGACAAAAGTTGGCATACAGCTGGATGGAATATTACCTGGTTAATTCCTTTGATCCTCCATATAGCATGACTACACAACAGAGTAAGGATTTTAAACATATCAGTAAATTAGGAAGGAAGTTTTGTAGGCCTCATAATAATACTGTAAATTAAAACATAAAAATCATCAAATTAGAAGTAGATGCATTCATACAAATTAAAAAGAAATGGGCGGATGAAATGAGAGTATGTTAGAGCTCAAACGGATCTTACCAGAGGACTGAATTTCAAATTTAGAAGCAAAAGCATAGCTTATATCGAACAAATTCAGAAACAAACAACAAAATATCGTATCAAGTACAAATTCTCTTATATTCGGTGGTGATCTATATATGAAAGCAGCCAACAGAAAAGAATCAAAATCAGAATAAGATGATAACTATTTATTTGTCATGCTTTTCAACAAAGCCTTAAGAGTGAAGAGCTCATTCGGTTTCGTTAACATTGGGGTAAATGTGAACCGGTAATTGTGACGAAAGTGTAAACAGACACCTGGTATAAGCTTAGATCCATTGGTGATGTGGCGTGCATTATGTAAACATGTTGATCTGTGCTAATAACTTCATATGATCTCACAATGCTGTGAAGACTAGCCAAAATCCATGGTCTCTTGTTGTGGAAAGTCAGCCCTTTCACTCTTTCTTTTGGATTCGAAATTCGCCAACATCTTCGCTCTGCTTTGTTAATCAATCAATCGCACAAACATCTTCAATTAGATTCATTTGATTCCGTGCATTGAAGACAACCCAATAAACCCAGGTTTGAGGGTGCATGATAATTACCTTGGATATGATTGATTGGGATATAGCTTTGTAGGAGGTAATTGTTGGATTAGATGTCTAAGCCCATAACTATAATTGGTATGTACTTGAATTGATAGCAGCACAGTCCTTTTGGGTTGCCCTCAAACCTAACAACTGGACAAGGAAATTATGA